ATCCCTGGGTTGGGAAGATCCCCTGGAGAAGGGAAAGGCTACCCACTCCAGTATTCTGGCCTGGAGAATTCCATGGACTGTATAGTCCATGGGGTTGCAGAGTCGGATACAACTGACTTTCACTATATATCAAATATTTTGTCTGCCACCTGTCAAGAAAGAGAATAATTCTAGACTTTAAGTTAAAATTTAAGAATTAAAACTACACTAAGGAATTGTAGTCACAAGAGAGAGAAAGCTTTTCGTATGATAGTGGATTTTAAAAATTGAATTCTTCAGTTTGAAGTGTTCAGATTCAGAGCAGTAGTGTATAATAAAGCAGAACAGGACTGGTTTCTTTATCTGTAAAATGAGAGAACTGGAATGTGTTGATATCAACATTATTAAAGTTATCAACACCTCTAAAATTCATTCTAGATACATATACATTCTTTGAACTCATCAACAGTTGTGAGAATTGGAATTAATCCAAATATATCTTTTAAATACAAAAAAAATCGTCAGTGAAAATGTCCTTTTAAAGATAACTGCAATATATGAGTGTATTGTTGAAGAGACGCAGGCTTTATATGGATGTTTATGGTAAAATAAGAGCCTCTGAGGGAAACCTGGAATGGCTTATGCTTGGAGCAAGACCTTCTTCAAGACTTTTCCTGCAGCCCGTGAGGCGTGTCCAAGCAGGAGGTCCTGCCTCCCTGAGAATGTTAGCTGGAAATAGGAGAACTGCTCTGAGTGGACCACTGTGTATTCATGCTCACCAACTCCACTGCTTCTGTTGCTAGTTCCAGCTTGTCAATACCTCTTAGAATACGTGTTCTATCATCTGGGGCTTCCCCGGTGGCTCAGATGGTAAAGAATCCGCCTGCAATGTGGGAGACCTGGGTTCGATCCCTGGGTTGGGAAGATCTGCTGGAGAAGGGAAAGGCTACCCACTCCAGTATTCTGGCCTGTAGAATTCCATGGGTTGCAAAGAGTCAGACACAACTGAGAAACTATCATTTTCATTTTCTGTCATCTGGGATGTTAACTAACCTCGTATCACCCAGCACATTTGATAAACTTGCTAAACAGCAAAGAACCTCATGGCAAATTATTATAACTTTCCTCCAGATGGACAATGGATCATCATTACAAAATAAAGAAAAAACAGTCGTTTTTCCTAAATAACTCTGAGCTCTAATGAATGCACATCACACACTTTTTTTGCCATCATTTCTAGCAGGATACAGCGACTTTCCCCAGCATGTTATTATGGTCAGGATACCGTCTTTCTCCTGACCCCTACTGAGCTGCCATCTGAACAGTTTTGTCAAAGGGAGAAATGCGCTGAAGATCTGCCCCCCTGCACCCATGCTGGGACCCAAGGACCACCACGTCCTAACCACTCATGACCGCTTACTGGCAATCCCATCTTCAGTTTTAGTATCACTTCTGTTATGAACATCTGACCCACAATTTGGAATTCCAGAAACTGTTTCCCTTTTTTTGGACACTGAACCATTTGTGCATGTGTGTGTGCCCAGCACTTGTCTTACCCCCTGATTATTCAAAGCTCATCCTCTGTGGCTGAACAACTGCACTTGCTAGTGACCATGCAAGTGGGTAAGAGAAGGCAGTGAACTGCCTGGGACTTCAGTTTCCCAAATGGTAGTCACAAATTATAGTCATTTCATAATGTTTCTCATATTTGAGATGAAGCATACCATTCTGATTATCTTTGGCCTACTATGTATCACCTCTTTGATTATTTACTTAATGTTTTTCTTTCTTAAAATAACCCTCTACTTAAATAAATGTATTATAAAAGGAAACTTTCCACCCACAATATAAATGGAAACCCAGTACCACTTTCCACAAATAGAGGGTAGCTCCAAAAATAAACAAAAGGAACACAAAAGGAATCTTATTAAATTCTGGTTGAAAGCAAGTGCCCATGAAAAACACTGAGGCTTTGACTTGCTCCTTCTTCATTATAGAGGGGGTTTTGTAGATTTATGGGACATTTACTGCCTTCAATAATTTCATTCAGGAAAATGAATGAAAATTAAGTATCCATTTCAAGACCTTAGAAAAAAGATTATGGGGATAAATCCAAAGAAAATAAGATTGAGAGCAGATAAAAGTAAAATTAACAAAATAGAAAACAAAGATACAATGGAAAGTGAGTTATTTTAAAAGTCTAATAAAATTGGCCAATATGCAGCAAGACTGATCAAGATAAAATAAGTAACATACATAATATATACATATATATAAGGATGAAAATGGGATGCATCAGGAATTTAAAAGATAACAGAATATTATTTTTTTTTTAATTTCATTTATTTATTTATTTTTGCTCATGCCCATGTGGCTTGCAAGAGCTTACATCTCCTACCAGGAAGTGGCTACATTCTGTGCTTCCCAGGTGGCGCTAGTGGTAGAGAACCTGCCTGCCAATGCAGGAGATGCAAGAGACATGGGTTCGATCCCTGGGTCAGGAAGATCCCCTGGAGCAGGGAATGGCAACCCACTCCAGTATTCTTGACTGGAAAATCCCATAGACAAGAGGAGCCTGTCCAGCTACAGTCCATGGGGTCCTACAGTCCATGGGGTCACAAAGAGTCAGACATGACTGAAGTGACTTAGCATGTCACCAGAAATTGAACTCAGACCCTCGGCAGTGAAAGTGCAGAGTCCTAACCACTGGACCACCAGGGAATCCCCTAAAAATAACTCTAAGGTAATGAATTTTCAAACTTTGAAGATAGACAAATTATTAGAAAAATATAAAGTACCAGACAAATTCAAGAAGCAAGTCAATCCAAAATAGTTTCATTCACTGATATTTAAAATCTCTCCAAAGGGAAAACAATAGGCTAGATGGTTTTACTGGAAAGATGTACCAAATATTCAATAAGCAAGGTAACTCTAAAACAACAAAGTCTACCAGAAAACATAAAAACAGACAATATGCCCAAATAATGTCATCTGTCTGATAATATTCCCAAATCCAGTTATCTAAACCAGACTGGCACAGTATGGAAAAGGAAAATTACTGGCCAATGTCATTCATGAATACAGATGCAAAAATTCTAAATACATATTAGCAAGCTGAATGCAGCATATATAGTATAATAATACAAGATAATAGTCTACGACCAAATTGATTGGACTTATCAGAGGATCAAATTCCATACCCATTAAAGCCCTTCTGTCAAATAGGAAAGAAAACAAAAAACATTTAGTAAGGAGGAAATAGATGGGAACTTCTTAATGAGCAAACCTCACACTGGGTTATCTCTGTGTCTAGTAAACATTTCACTCAACAGGGACGGGAGGTGGAGGGAATCATCACCTTTCACAGGTGGGACATTCAAAAAGTATTTCAGACAAGTCAACAGAATTAATAATAGAGTTGATCCAGATTACTGATAGAAGTTCAACTGTATTTCTACATACCAGCAAAAGTTTTTTTAAGGTATTTTTAGAGACAACCATTTATAATATCAAGGGGGAATAATATATTGGAATATTGGAATAATATATTGGAATTATTCCAATAATAATATATTGGAATAATTATAACAAAAAACTTGTATAAAAATTTTAGGTAGAAAATCTATAAACTTGAACAAAAGACACCCTTTAAAAATGGTGATATGTACATGATACAGGGCAGGAAGGCTCAATATCACTAAAATGTCCCCTCTCCTCCAACTGGTCTTTTAATTCAAAGACATTCCAATCAAAATCACAACAACCTTTCAAAATTAAATTTGAAATTCTAAAAGTCCTATGGGAAAACAAGGGGATAAGAATAAAGACAGTCCTTCAGAAGTATGAGGGGAAAGATTTGCTTTGCTAAATAGCAAACTGTAAAAAAAAAACAAAAAAACTGTAATACCTGAGTTGGTAAGGTATTCAAACAGAAACAATCAAAAGGTATAAAGCTCAGAAACATATCCTTGCATTAATGGAAACTTGATACGTGACAGAGGTGTTGGTAGAGTACAGTGGGGAAAGCTGGACCATTCAAGAAATGTTACAAGTGCTTACCCACCTGGAAATAGAAATGTATTTGAACCTCTCAGTGCACACAAGTATCAATTCCAGGTGATTAAGGTGTCTCACTTATGTGAGACAATCAAACCATAAAGTTTCTAGAAAGAAATATAACCCAATATCCTCATGACCTCAGGGTAGAAATGAACTCCTTAAACAGCAGATAGAAAGCACGAACCACAGAAGAAAAAGATGACTACATTCAAACCACATTAAAAAGATGAACATCTCAAGCTACATACATCAGGAGAACATACTTGCCACACAGATAATCAACAGAGAACTCTTGAAAATAAAAAAGAAACTACCTCAAAGGAAAGTGGGCAAAAGAGTCTAATTTATACATACTCTTTTGCATGCATAGTATTTCCATTTAATAATGGTAAAAATTAAATGTCTACTATATTGTGTCTCCAGCACGAGATAATGTTGAAAATACATTTATAACATGATAGAGTAGTACATAATGACATCTTTGTTTGAAATAGTATCTTTAACATCTTTCATTTATTTTCATAATAGCTGTTCAT